CTGTTGAGTTCGTAGGTGTTCAGAATGGTTTGATCCCTATCCAGCTGAATTCCTGGGACCAGACGAAATTTAGGTCTCCTACTCCTCCACCATCTTGCTCCTCCCCTTCTTTATCATATAGTCTTGATCCTACTTTACCATATGAGAGTGACTATATTGTAGTATCTAAACTAATGATATAATAATATATCTAATAGCTCTGATGCTACAGAAATGCAAAATTTGTGCATTATTTGGGCTGGAGGATTTTCTTCTAGATTTACTTTTTATTTTTTTAAATATACTTTAAAATAAAATAAAAATCTGCAGTTGTAATCCTTGACCTGAATGATTTGGCAAATATTTGGGTGTTATGCCTGTTTACTGACTGGTATGTACCTTTGCAATAATCTTACGACCATTTGTACTTTTTAAACTTCTTCCCGAAAGTACCATTTGTTGATGAAATTTGGAAATTTATTTTTATTTGACTTAGTTTCTTTTTTCCCTCCCAGCATACAGCATGCCTCTGCAATGCCATCATTTCCTTGCTGAAAGTTCCTCTTTCGTTTCAGAGATATTTTTTCCAGAAACTGCAATCTACCAGCATCAAGGTAATACTCTATAGCAAAATATGAAGGTTAATACAAATTAAACACCCAGTTATCTTCTGGAATACATGGGATATAGCTCTGCTTCAGGGTCTTACCTTTGGTTTTGATACACCCTTTAGTTGTAAGTTTTTTCTCCCTTTATCAAGTGGTTTCGTAAAGGTAATGGGATTTGGGAGTTAAGCCCTTTCCCTTCTTACTTGTCAGTGCCAGGTGCAGTGCGACAGGCACTTGGGTACCTGGAGCTCTGTCCCTTGTCTCCAAGAATAACTTGAGAGGTTTTCATCATAAGTCCTCTACAAGGATCTTGAGCCGAGTTCGCGTCTGATCAGGCTTTTCAGACCCCATTTAGAGTAAATCAGGTCTGGTAAGACATTACCAGTCCTACCTCCAGAGCGCTTTTGTCTGTGAATATCAAGTTTTGAGGAGTTGGCCAGTGAGAAGAGCTAATATTTTAAAATATTTGAGCTCTCCAAATTCAAAAGCTATTTTTGATTCAAAGAATAGAATTGTTGGAAAAGGTGGAAAACTCACCTCCAAGAGATTTCCTAGATTATCCCTCTGTCAGTAAATGTCTTCAGTGCACTTTTTCATATCCATTTGAATGCTTTTGATTGTAAATAACAGAGCATTCCATTTCAAAATGACCTGAATCACAAGAAAAATTGATTATCTCAGATAAGATGTCTTAAGGTAGGGTGTGTGCAGGGTTGATTGATGCAATGCTTAGCATCATCAAAAAGACCCACGTCTTCCATCTCTTCATTTAGCAGAATTTGGGCTTTCTGTAATTTAAGGGTATTTGGGATTTTTAATATGTTCTTAAATAAAAACTACTCTAATGAGAGGTTAAAAATGTTATTTGGGGGCGCCTGGGTGGCTCAGATGGTTAAGCATCTGCCTTCGGCTCAGGTCATGATCCCGGGGTCCTGGGATCGAGTCCCGCATGGGGCTCCCGCTTCTCCCTCTGCCTCTGCCTCTCTCTTTCTCTCTCTCTGACTCTCGTGAATAAATAAATAAAACATAAAAAAAAAAAGTTATTTGGTTCATTTGTGGAAATTGACTTTTATACCACTGTGACTTGATCATATATGTAATTCTAGAATTTTAAGTTCACTTGCCCTTGAATTTAGTCTATTTAAAATTACATAAGACCAAATTACATAGACAGCAGCTAGACATGAAAATTTACATAGTGCATTTCCCTGCTGGAATTGGTTCATTGTCGAAGAAATGCCCCCCTACAGAAACGAGGAAGACTAGGGCCTTCGCTGTTTTCTGATCCTCAGTTACCCTCACACAGAACTGGGATTTGAGACATAAAACACAGTGGTATTTAAAGAGGCGTTAGGGAGAGGGACCCCTTGACTTTAAAGGTGCATTTGTCTGGGTGTCCCAGCAGTCAGGTCATTAGCTGTGTAACGTTGTAACCTATAGACAACAATCAGCACAAACATGTTTGTTGGAAGAAAGCTTGTTCTTGCTTGTGAGCATTCGTCTTAATGTTGGTATTCCAGCTTGCTCTGTCACCATCGCCCCGGAACCCTGCCGAGCCCATCGCTGTCCAGAATAACCAGCAGCTGGCACTAAAGGTAGAGGGAGTGGTTCAACATGGATCTAAGCCAGGACTCTTTCGCAAAATTCAGTCTGTCTGTCTGAATGTTTCTTCCACGCTACAGAGTAAATCCGGACAAGACTACAAGGTAATTTAAAAAAGAGGCAGAGTTGTGATATGGATTTTGTCAGCTCATTCATAGAAGTTTTCCAGTGATTTTCATGGTTAAGCAGATTGCAGTTACACCTCCCACGGGAAGAGATACAGACATAAGTTAAAAGCACCTATTGGGGTTTGAGGGGGCTGATAAATAATAACCTCTCTTTTCTCTGCCTGAACCAGTTGATAGAGAAAGCATCCAGGCAGACAGAGATCAAAATATGAGCCTCACTGTTTAGCGATGGGGACACCTAGCTCAGGTGCCTGGCAACAAGGACTTCCTAGCCTTGTACCTCTGAATTGAATTTTCCCACCCAGCCTCAGCCTGTGCACACAAGAGCCTGCCCCTATAAAATCGATGGCAGGAAGGAGCATCCTGATGTCCAAAGAAGGGAAAGAGAAGGTCTTAGCTCCCCATGCTCAGTTCTTACCCAAAAACTTAGCGGTCAGTAGAATTCACCTCCTCCCCTGGAGACCAGTGTTGTTCATCTCATGAAAAGTCCCTCTACCTGGAGGGAAACATCACGAGTGGGGAATAAGTGCCTCCCTATCTCCCTTGCCCCCCAAAAGCACACATCTAATTATTTTTCTCTATTTTAAGTAGATATTAGCATTTTCTAAAGAAAAAAGGGTAGACAACATTAACAGACAATGGTCAGATAAAGTAAAATCTTCCCTTATGGATGTAACCCTAGGAATTTGCTGCTTTGAGAAATTATGAGGTAGGTAACCAAAAATCGTGCTTGCTTTGTTAGCCAAGGCCAAGGTGCTAAATACCATGGAATACCAGTATTCCAAATGCAGAACGTTCCTTTCTTGAGACATCTCTTTCCAGTTCCTTGGTGGCTTATTCACAGAAAATAGAACAAGGGAGCAAGTACACAGTTGTATGAACAGAGTTGTTCAAATGCCCAAAATTGGTTATGTCCAGGTTTATTGTGGCCATACTTGAACTGAGCTCCAAAGTAAGGAAAGGAATTAATATTCCGTAAAGATAGAAAAAGAGAACATTTTATTCTCTTTGGTGGTTTTTAGGGAGAAGGTGTGGTTTAAGCCATTTTTATTTCTTGTCTTTGGTAACTTTCTATCCCTTCTTTTCCCACCCTGATAAGGCTCAGGCTTCATTCTCTTGCTCTCTTTGATTCCTACAACACAGACTGTGGTGCCTTATGTAGCCCTGTGTAGCAAATATTTGATGAATGATGACAAAATCATTTACTGTATTTAGATGTAGTACAACTGTTACGTTTGGGCAATCCTTAGGTCGTAGTGAGAATTGACATAGTTAACCTACCCCTGTCAGCAGCTGTGTCCTCGTTTAGAGTTTGAAAGAACAGTAATTCTCTTTGTTCCTTGTATATAATGATTTCTAGTGTTAAAAAAACAAACAAACATTCAAACCAGGCTTCTGCTTATTAACTTACCTCTCGAGGCATTGCTTAAAGTCAGGAAGCCGATATAATAAGTCATGTAGTATAAGATTTGTAATGTTACTTGCGGTGAGTCTTCAACTTGAAATGCATCATCCGTTCAGAGTGATCAGGTTGCTTAGGCCTATCTCTAGTCCTTTTAAGGAAGTTCGTGTTTGGTAGGCATATTCTTTAGGGACATAAAAACCCTACAGAAGTTGTGCAAACAAACAGAACGGAGCCTATAAATAATCCTAAGATCTCGAATTGGTCAGTGACTTCATTTCATCGACATTACAGGTAAATGTCTCTGGAAAACTGACGTCAAGATATGCTCATTTAGTCAGAGTTTCAGGGCATATTTATATCATTGATTAGGCAACAGAAACACACACATAAACCTAGAGCAGTCTGGCCAAACAGTCATTAAGGTTACCTTTATATGCGTTCCAGAATAAGTGTCTCTCTTGGCATACTTCATCTTGGGTACAGGTCAGGGTGTACCAGCAGGTGTTACTCTGTTTTTCGAAGGACAAAGACATGGGTGTCTAGCTAAATAAGTGAACAAACCCATAAACCTGTGTTTTATAATATATTGTGCTGCCAGTCTGAACAAGATACTGAGTATTACGTAAGCACTGTACAAGTTCTAAAGTTAATTTGTTAAAGGAGGGAGGAACAATTGCATTACTGAAGCAATATAAAACCAGACAAGTTAGGAGGAAGAACCCTAACTTGTATTTACTTAGTGTTAGGTTCTTTTTCAATCTCTTAGATTTTAAACTTCCTGCAACAGGTAATTGTTCCCTGTTTCTTCAGAATATCTCCTCACAGAGTAAAGAAAAGTAAAGTAAAGAAAGATGGGAATTGGAGTTGGGGTCGGGTAAGCGAGTGTAGTAGAAGAAAATTTTCTCTTCCATTGTCTTAGGGTCTCCTGCTGGGCCTAAGATTAAACTGATACTATTAACATGAGAAAGGCATACAGGTTTGTTAGAATTGTACCTATACATGGGAGTCTTCACAAGATAATGGAAACCCAAAGAAGTGACCAGAGCAGAAAGCTTACATAACTTTTAGACAAACGGTAAATTTGTGAAGACAGAAAACAAGGGCGAGGGGCAGTAAACTGGGGAAGTGATTGGGAGAGAGGCGGCCAGGGGGGTGGGGGGCACCTGTGGGAGATAGGGGTTATTGTAGTTTATTTGTGGAGGTACATTTCAGCATTGACTCCCAGTCTCTAGTGATAAGGATGTTCTCCTCTTCTTGGTACAGAGAAGGGCACTTTCTCATGGGAGATTTTATGGCCTGTTTTAGGTAAAAATGCGGCGGTCAGAGAGCCCTTCCTCCATCTGCTGTTTCTCAGGTGCCTTTAGCTTAAAATAATGTGCCAAAGCAGCATATTTTGAGGTGGCATGTCCTGAGCTCCTTCACAAGGAAGAAAGGCCAGCATATGAAGGGGTTGAGAAAGGCTCTGGGAGCTCATTCTACTCAGGGATAGTGAGGAGGCAGGATGGCTTAATGGTGAAGAGTGTAGGCTCTGGAGTTAACCTGCCTAGGTTGCCTAGCCTGCCACTCCTTAGCAATGTGACCTTGGAGAAATTACTTAAACTCTCTGCCTCAGTTTCCTCATCTATAAGTCAAGGGTAAAAATAGTACCTAAACCTCTTAGTTGTTTGCAGGGATTAAGTAAGCACCTCATATGGGGCCTAGCTCCAGTAAGTGCTTACTCCAGTAAGCACTCAGTAAATGTTAGATATTGTTGTTATTTAACAATTTTTTCATTCCAGATACCCATTGACAATATGACCAATGAGATGGAGCAGAGGGTTGAACCTCATAATGATTACTTCAGTACTCAATTTCTGTTGAACTTTGCTATCCTTGGAACACACAACATTACAGTAGAATCTTCAGTGAAAGACGCCAATGGTATTGTATGGAAGACAGGTCCCAGAACTACCATATTTGTAAAATCCCTGGAAGACCCTTATTCCCAGCAAATTCGCCTACAACAACAGCAAGCCCAGCAACCATTACAACAGCAGCAGCAACGAAATGCCTACTCACGGTTTTAGCCACATGAGGAATGCACTCCTGGCTTTATAGGAATTGATCAAATGGGCAAAAATAATTTGATTTTTCATATGGATTCAGATATGAAAGTTAGAATGTGGAGTCCATTTATTCATTGGTTTCTATAATGTAATACTCTGGGGAAAAAAAGGGTTTGTTTTTCTTTAGAAATTTAATTTGAGAAATAACTGCGTTCCCAAAGATTTTTTATCCTTGTTCCTTCTTAAACCAAGTCCTTTATCATCTGTTTGACATTTTCATTGTTTTATTATTGTTTTTATGTTGCTGAGCCTTTTCTTTCGCTTTCAAGAAAAGTCATGTGTTGGGATCACTGCATTTATAGATTTGACTCCCTGTTCACCAAAATACATCACTCGCTACCTGGCACAGATAATTCTGAGCCAGGCATTGGGAAATTCTGACCGGTTAGTACAAAGTTGACCTGTGGTAGCAGGAACCAAGTTCTCCCCTGGATTGACTTCAGTGTCCCCTGAAATCCAGTTTTCTGGATTTTGAGAGCATGCAGTCTAGCAGAATTGAAACACCATGCTATATTATTTCAGCTACTTAACCTATCTTTTCTATGCTAACACAATCTTAATTTATTGTTTTAGTATTTAATTGACCTGAAAAAAACAGGTAACAAATACATACAAAAATTGGAGATTAATCATTGGTGTTTTCTAGTATGTGTATGGTTTTGTTTATAGTATAGACTTTTTACATTATTTCTAAGAGCGAAAAAACTCACTCACATGTACTATCTTAATTTTTTAAATTAGGAAGGCAGATCTTTTGATTGGTTTGGTTTCTTCTTGGCAAGTTATGTAATACTAGACTTGATTGTCTAGAAAGAACAGCCTCTTTATAACACAACCTCAATTAGTTGGGATGCTCAGGGAATAGAAGTTTTCTGGTTAGCCAGAAGACCCCTTTTTTCCTATTTCAATACTGGTTGAAAACTGTTATAATAATAAACTTTCTTGTCTTAACACGGTATACTGGATGCAATTTACCTGTTCATTCTTCATTTGGGATAATTCAGTGCTCGGAATCATGGTTTTCTAAACATCAGGGATCATAGGGTTGCAGATGTTGTTGATGATATGGACAGTTGGGCTGTAAGCAGCTCCTAAGATGAAGCAGGACACATTCCCTGGAAGCTTCCTTTTTAAATAAATCTCTCATTTTCTTTGCTTGTGTTTTGCCTTTTCTTTTTTTCTTTAAAGACAACATTAGCTCAAAGGGAAAAAAAAAATGAGTTGGTTTTTCCTTTTTCCTTGTCATGTCGCCTCCAGTGGTGAGAAGTGATTGGCAACTCAGATTCCTCTGAGATTGCATAGCTCCATGAGCTGTTGTCCCAGCAAAGCACCCTCTGCTGCCATTGGCCAGAACATTGTCATAAAACATGTAAGTCCACAGTGTCCACTGAGGATGCCATCCCTTTAAATGCAGCCCGGTTGTGGACAGTGCACGATGCGGACAGCTGTGACAGCATCTGGGAACACAGGCCTGAGGAAGAATTGCCAAAGCAGTGTGGAGGAGGTATGCAGGACCCCTTTCCTTCTCATCAGGCGTGGAAAAAACTGGACCAGAAAGCACAGGTTGCCCTTTTGTTTCTGATGAATTAGCTCTGTGACCCGGGGCAAGTTACTTTATCTCTCTAGAGTAGCTTCTTTGTAAAATGACTGAATTAGACTAGATCTCTTAACTCCAATCTAGAGTTTTATCAGGTGACTAAAAGACCAAAAAAAGAGCTCTTTTATTATAAGGGGGAAACAAAAAAATTTTTTTAATTCATTGTCTATTTTCAGAATGAAATTTTATAATGTCAATTTCAGGTTTCTGGTACTATTTCAAGGCAGAATTCTCAAGAAAAGCAAATCTTGTAAGCGACCAATTCCCCCCGGTTCCCTTTGAGACCTTCCCAGAATTTATGTTCTTAAAAGGCTTTTTTGATAGCTACAGTTATAAACTCTTTGATTTGGTGTACTGGACGGCTCCTGGCACAAACTTGGAAAGGAATTACTAATAAAAACAAATCCAAATAGTTCAGAGTAGGAAAATAACTCTATGAAGCAAAAAAGGCTATTTTAATTGAGTGTGTCCATTAGATCCAGGATTGGAACTCTGCTTTTATGTTTGGTATAATGTCTGCTGCATTCTTGGCATCAACTGCTAAGCAATTATTTGAGGTAAGGGGAAATTGCGTTTATAATTTCAACACTACAGTAATGAATGAAAAGAAAAAGAAATACTCAGGGAAAGATGAAGGAAGGAAAGATACACGTGCTGATTGTGAAGTGAGCATGTCCCCTGAACTTAGAAATATGGATAGTAAAGGGTGCTGGCTGATTGATTCTAGGAAGACAGGACTAATTTTTCTCTGTTTAGCCACTTTGCGATATAACCTGGTGGCCTCAGAGCACAGCGTCTGGAGCCACACTGTCTGGGTCCCAGTCCGATCTCTAAGTATATGACCTTGGGCAAGCGACTTGATATCTCTATGCCTCAGTTTTCTTAATCCTAAAATCAGGAAATATAATTGTGCTTCATGGGAGAGGTGTGAGGATTAAGTGAGTTAATAGAATTAATATATGTAAAGCATTTAGCATGCTCCTTGCACATAGTAAGCAGATATATGAGTTTGCTAGCATTGTTACTATTTTATCCTCCCTAATACTATTTTTCACAGTGTTAGATCAGTTCTTAATCTTAGCATTTTATTTATTCACAGTAAAAGTTACTGCTGTTTTGCTACTAAACACACATTTAAGCTATCTTCCCCTCATTTTCAATTTGGGTATATCGAATAATAACAAAATAACTTAATGTTGACCCAAACAAAATGGAATTTCTGTCTACAACCAGTATTATAAATCCTATTAAAATATTTAAAGACATATGTACAAAGAAAATTATGAAAGTACTTTCTAAAGCTGCTGATTGTCTTCAGTAGTGACAGTAATAGTACATTGACTATTTAGAAATTAAAGTACTATTATATTCCAGCTTAGCCTAAGAGATCTTGTGATACGACCTTTGTCGCTCAAACTAACCAAGGTGGCAGATAATGTGCAACTGGAGATCCGAAGTCACTTTTCACATTAAGATTCCCAGAAGAACACACCAAGCAAACCAAGATCCTCAGACTAGGGTCCCAAAGATGTCAGTTTAAGTTCTATTTATAAGACTCACTTGCCATGGATCCTCAGATCGGTCCCTTGGTCCTTCTGTGCCAATACCTGCCAGCACTGAGAATAAGAGGATCCTGCCACTTGTTATGTAGTGTGTATGCAGCCCTCGTCCAATAGAACTTTCTGTGATGATGGAAATGTCCTAAGTCTGGCTATCCAAAATAACCACTAGCCTTACGTAGCTACTGAGTGTCTAAAATATGGCTAATGTGACTGAATCTTTTATTTACTTGTAGTTCGGTTAAATTTAAATAGCCTCGTGTGGCTACCACTTGCAGAATTGGGACAGTGCAAGAGTTGAGAAGAAATGAGATTCACTATTCCCTTAGGACCTAGGTAATTCTTGAATAGATTTCTAGGTAAGGGGACTATGTTGGAATTCTTTGGCTAACCAAAGGGTTTGCATGGAAGACTGTAGATGACAAGGAAGGCATTTGGGGTTTGTGGGTTTGCCTTGCTTCTAGTAGTACCGTGTTGCTCAGTCAGACAGCTGGCCCTGTTCTTTCTGGTAATTTGCCCTTGGATTTAGCCTTTGTCAGTCACCAGCATTAAAACAACAAGGTCCAAAAGTCTGGTGAATGGGCTTAGATCTCCCAACAGCCAGAGGTTACAGTCTTTCTTTCCATTGCTTGCCCAAGAACACAAAGACCTGTAACACCACGGGCAAGTATTTTATTGGCTTGACTGGAGCGAGGTCACTATTATTCTGTACTATCTCCCAGTCTAAAGTATTCATTCTATGAGTAGTTTAATTTGTAATTGCAATTGGGATATAAACAGAGTGAGTCATAGTTTTCTCCTTAACTAGTAAACCAAGACCCGGAGCCATTGATACCCACTTTCTAATGAAGAATACTAAGTGTTGTAAATTTGCTTTTTTCAAATCTCCCACAGGTACAAAGCATTTTTCAGTCTTTATCTTTTCCCTTATCTTCCTTCTTACTTGCTAATCTCTCCTGGAGCAATTCTGTCCTGCGCAGTCAAGTTTGTTGTGCAATAATTGTCCTCTGTTTAGATCTGGTTAAAGATTGAAACCTTGTGAAATGAGTTTGGGGATTATCTTCCTCTCAGATCATGTCTACAAGGTCTAGCTTTTGTCTTGTGATACTTAGCTGACAAACTGACATTAAAAATATTTTTATTGTTTACAGAGAATTATTTTTAGCAAATTATAAAGGTGAAATAATATGCATTCATTTGGTATTAGGAAATGAATCAGTCAGCAAAGTGAACATCTCCTCCTACCCTCACGAGACAGGATGAGTTAAAGAAAATCAGATTGTTTTACAGAGAAAAAGTGTTCTCTGCTTCATCTTTTGGTTTTCTTGGGAGATTTCATTTGTGGATTTTGATGAAGCTTATTTGTGGCTATGAAGCAAAAATATTTCAGATAGAAAAGAAAGACAACATAGAGCTAAATTAGACTGAAGAATTATGAGAAGATATCAATGTCGAGTTGTGTTTCCAAGGCCATGGAAGATGAGAATAGGCCGTGCTGCCTCGAGTTGCACCCTGTCGCCCTCCCCCGCAATGGAAGCAGTGAAGATAATGATGCTTTTTGCCTGTGTCATCTCACTCTGAGATGAGCAAAGTGATGACAAATTGTTAACACTTGTGGCCCCCATCTTGCTTTCCCTTCCCCACCCCCACGCACTAGGCAAAGGCAGATACCATGTGATTAGGAGAGTCAGTTCTGAAGCCCTCCACCCCCCCACACACACACACACACGACACACACACACAGGACAAGAGCAGATGAAAAGCCTATTGTGGAAATGTAAGTAGGGGAGAAGGGCTTCCCAGCTCTGAGCCCCACACTGCGCCAGACTCTGAGCTGGGGGTGGGAAATGCAAAAGGAATCTGACAGGGAGAGCCTCAGGCAACTTACAGTCTATTGACAGAAAAAGAAAAAAACAACTTGTATTTTTACAGAATGTGGAGAGAACATTATAAAAGCCATTGACAGAGCCCAAAAGGTGGCATTTCTGAAATTCTAATAGCGTCTCCCCTTGTATGTAACAGGCCAGGCTCTTAGGTAATTAGAAAATGGCCATCATTTGACATTTTCTCCTTTCGCAGCTCTTGGAAGTGCAAGTGTTCCTTCCTTCTCAGAGAGCCTCTTGACAGAATCAGGGACAGTTGGGCACCTACTCCTGGAAGCCAGAGAGGAACATAAGAGCATTTGGAAAAAAGATACACCCCAAAAGTGTGACGTCAACATTTGGCCTTGAGGAGACAGGAGCTTACACTCCAAAAGAATTAAATATTGTCAAAAAGAAGAAGAAGAAGGTAGCGGGGGGGGAAGAATGAAGCAGGGGAAATCGGAGGGGTAGACGAACCAAGAGATGATGGACTCTGAAAAACAAACAGGGTTCTGGAGGGGAGGAGGGTGGGAGGATGGGTTAGCCTGGTGGTGGGTATTGAGGAGGGCACATTCTGCATGGAGCACTGGGTGTTATGCACAAACAATGAATCATGGAACACTTCATCTAAAACTAATGATGTAATGTATGGGGATTAACATAAGAATAAAAAAATAAATAAATATCAGGACTTTAAAAAAAAAAAGAATTAAATATTGTCTTATGTTGCAGAAACTACTGCTGATTCTAGCCAGGCCGTTGGACGACACAAACCTCCAATGTCACATTTCAAGGTATCAGGGCCTTGGGGAGAAATGACTGTAATCACAGAATCACTTAAGCAACATCAGATCTATCCTAGTGGTTACAGTGTCCCCTGGGATGCTCAAAAGCATATTAGCCCTGGCTAAAATTATCTCTCAGGGAGTGAGCTCATCAGGAATCTCTCCTTGAGGGCCCTTGACACAGGAGAGGGCCCATGAGTCTGTCCTAAGCACTACCTCTCCCTCCTTCCTCACCCAAGCGGCTGACCAGAAGTAGCTGATGGAAAGCACTTTTCCTTCATCCTGAGCACTAGAGGTGCCTCAGCTGACATCACAGGGCTCTGTGGCTCAGTCAGCAACATTCGTCTGAGCTGGAGTT